CTCATAGATTTTTGTTTCACCTGTATCCCTCTCTGGCTCTTTCTCTCTCTCTGCCTGTCCAGCTGTGTTATTTAAGAGTAACTCATCTGAAAACCAAACAAATAAACAAAAAGCCCCTTCTTGTCTGTGTTTTTCTCGCAGGCTGCCTCAATTTCGCAGAAAGATGGCCCAGCTCCAGGAAAACATCAATGGCATCGTTGCTGCTTTCTACACGTGCGCCAGAAGCGACGGTAACTGCAGCCCCCTGAGCAGGGAGGAGCTGAGGCAGCTCGTTGAGCAGGAGTTCGCGGATGCGATGGAGGTGAGCAGCAGGTGTGCCTTCGCGCTGCAGGGCTGGCACGGGGAGCACAGCAGGGTGGCTAAAGCCAAGCACTTCCATGGGGGTGCACAGGACACCTGGCTCCCCGGGAGAGGCACAGATGCCTTCAAAGCCCAGGATCTGCGGAGAAGAGGAGAGGCGCTTCATTCTCCCAGTGCTGTCAGCTTGTAGAGCTTGGTGTGGGGAGCAACACAAGCCATGGCAGGGTGGGGGCTCGGGGTTGGATTTCTGCCCTGAGACTGCTCGAGTGCTCCTAGAGAGATGGCACAAACGGCTCATGGGCTTTACCAACACCGTTTGTCTCTTTACAGAACCCCCAGGACCCCAAAACCATCAAGAAGGTGCTGTGCTTCCTGGATGATGACGGCAACTGCAGGGTTGACTTCAGCGAGTTGCTCAGCCTGGTTTTCCGCGTGGCCAAGGCTTGTTACCAGCCACTCCAGCAGCACCGGGTGCTGGAAGATGGTCAAGAGCTGACAGCACAAGAGAGGGCAGGTGGGGAGCAGCTGCCGGGGCCACACACAGCAGGGAGGGTCTCCTGCAGTCTGCAGGTCCCCGAGCAGAGTGTGAACAATCAGGTCCAGGGCACTGAGACACAGGACCCAGAGGGCCATCAAACCCGGGAGGGTGAAACACAGGAGCAGGACATGGACACCTCTCAAATCCAGGAGGGTGAGACACCAGAGCAGGACCAGGATGCCCATCAAACCCAGGAGGGTGAGACAAAGGAGCAGGACCAGGACAACCATCAAACCCAGGAGAGTGAGACTGTAGATGAGGACCAGGACACCTGTCAGGACGACGGGGCTGAAGCACCAGAAGGGGATCAGGAAAGAGGTGAGATCCTGGACACTGCAACCCCAGAGCAGGACAGAAATACCCACAAAGCTGAAGAGCCTGAGACACCAAAACAGAACCTAAAAACCCACCAGGCCCAAGAAACTGAGGCACCACAACAGGATTCAAACCACCATCAGAGCCCAGAGACAGAGTCAGCAGAGCAGGACCTGAATTTCCCCTCTGAGACACCAGGAAGAGACCCAACCAACAAGACCCAGGTCTGTGAAGCCCGTCACCAGGACCCCAACCCCAGCAAGACTCAGAAGCTGCTGCCCCCCCAGCAGGGTGCAAGCCCTCGTGGGGATCTCAAGCGCCAGGGAACATGCCATGACCCAGCTTGCCATCAGCTCCCTGAACCCAAGGTGCTGGAGCCGGAGCACGGCGGGGCGGGGACTCAGCCT